GGGAGAAATGAACTTGAGCTTGGCGCACCAGTCTAAGACAGTCCCAGGCGTGCCAATGACAATGTGCTCACTGATCTTCTGACCCCTTTCCACTGTGGAGACAAGAGGTGTTCTGTGGTTATTTCCATGGCAAAGCCAACTTTGGAAAGCAAAGCCTTGCCCCATTCTTCCAGAGCTTTTAGAACAAGTTAATTACAGATTTCAAAAGATACTGGACTGTTTCCCAAGTCTTGGTTGTACTGTAAAGTGGGCATAATGACACCTACCTGACTGCATGTGGTCAGGATAAAATCCTACACAGTGAAACCTCAGTAAGTGTTAGTTCCTTCCTACCTTCTATAATTCAACACCATCCAACTCTTTCTCTTTAGCATTATCTTCTATCTTGTTCTTTTCATACCATTCATTCACTCATGATTCACTGATTTTCTCCTAAATTGGCAAAAATACTTTGGTCACCATCCAACTCTTTCTCTTTAGCATTATCTTGTTCTTTTCATACCATTCATTCACCCATGATTCACTGATTTTCTCCCAAATTGGAAAAAATACTTTGTGGTCCTCAATAATGTTTAAGAGTGTAAAAGACTGGCCCTGGATGGGTAGCTCAGTTGGTCATCCCGATACGCCAAAGTTGTGGGTTCAGTCTCGTCAGGGCACATACAAGAATAAACCAATGAATGCATAAATAAGTGGAATAACAAATCGATGTTTCTCTCTCTCCCCCCTAAATCTATAAATTAAAAAAAAACGAGTGTAAGAGACCAAAAAACTTGAGAACCACTGCTGTAGGCAATTATAAACTTTTGGGTCAAAGGGATGTCTCTCTTTAACTTTTCTATGTAAAAAAAAAAAAAGTGTTAAGAGACCCAAAACTTGAGAAGCACTGCTCTAGGCAATTATAAACTTTTGGGTCAAAGGGATGTCTCTCTTTAACTTTTCTAGGTAACATCAAACTGTTTTCTAAAGTGATTGTACCAGTGTATACTCCTGCCAGAAGTGTGTGAGCATTCCAGTTTTGTGGCTTCACCAATACTGGTAATTGTCAGATTTCTTCATTTTTGCCCACCTGAGATGTGTATAGTGGGTTTAATTTACATTTTTGTGATGACTAATGAGACTCATTTTCATGTTTACTGACCATCTGAATTCCTTCTTTTGTGAAGTGTCTGTTCAACTGGGCCTCTTTTGTCTTTTTTTAAAACTATGTATCTCTTTTCTATATTACTGATTTCAGAGAGGGAGAGGGGAAGAGCGATAGAAACATCAATGATGAGCATAACCGACTGGCTGCCTCCTGCACGCCCCCTGTTGGGGATGGAGCCCACAACCTGGCGTGTGTTCCTGACCGGAATCACACCCAGGACCCTTCAGTCCACAGGCTAATACTCTATCCCCTGAGCCAAACCAGCTAGGGCTCTTTTGTCTTTTCTTAATGATTTGTAGTTTTTAAAATATTCCATTAACTTTCTAATGACCCACTTTCTACCTGCCCTACCTCATTTTAAACCATATTCTCTACATTACATTCTGCAGAATACACAGAAGAAAGAACTGCTGGAGGATTTCTGATTTTGATAAGACCAAGAGAACTATACATGCTCTCAGTTTACTCTTACTAAAGCTGTGCTTACTTTTAAAAATAAGTATTTTTATTTATTTCGGAGAGGAAGGGAGAGGGTATTATTGATCGGCTGCTTCCTGCATGGTTACCACGTGACCCAGCAATTCCACTCCTAGGACTGTACCCAAGAAATGAAAATATACACATGTTCACAGCAGCATTGTTCATAATAGCCAAAGCGACACCCAACCACCCGACCCTACTCACGGCTGAGGGCTCACCTCTTTATACTCACATTTATTGCCTCGAACAGCATAAGCAAGCTTTAGTTCTGGATGAAATTTGCCCATCTGCTCAATCACTTTTCCTGTTTGAAGCGCCAACTCGTATGTTGGGGAGAGGCAAAGGCACTGAAAGGGGGATCATAAAGGATGACTTTAGGAGACCCTTTCAGTCACAGACAACAGGCTCTAAAGCAACAAGTACGCTGATGTTATTAGCACCTGAACAGTGCAGGGAACCACATCCTTTCAACCAGGCCAACCTTTCAGCGTGGCTGGGGGATGCTTTTGGAAGCTACTGTTTAAAGGTGCTTTCAAATGAATTTTACCCACGTCCTGCTCTGCCTGAGCCACAGTTTGAAGCACAGGAATGTTCAGAACCCTCCAGGGGAACCCTCGTCAATCCCCCACCAGACGGCAGTGCCCAGGCAAGTGAGGACCCAGGATTCCCCAGCCCTCACCTGGGGGTATCTCTCTGCTGGCTCCACTCGGCTGAGCATGGCCAGGACAAAGGCAGCTGTTTTCCCAGTACCAGACTGAGACTGGGCAATCAGGTTCTGTGGGCTGGATGAAGGAAGAAGAGAGATGAAAATAATATTGGTTAAACACACACAAAGGTGTCAAGATGTTCTTTCTGGGTAGTAGGAATATGGACTTCCTCCTTTAGTCCAGATTTTCTGCATTGAGTACATGACAAATGTTTTTATAATGTTAAAATTAACTGCTTAAATATTATGGAAAATGATTGTTTTAGATGGGTCCACACCCAGAAGTCCTTACTCTAGACTCTAGCACAGCTAGTGCCCTAGTTCTGTACCTTAGGGGTCCCGCGGAAACTAAGATAGCACAGTAAGGTCTGTGCCAGTGAGACAAGTCCCCGAGAATGTTTTCAGCTGAGTCATAATGTGCCTCTAGCACCCAGCTCCTTCTGTGTGTTCCCTTTCCCATCTTTATAGAAAATGTAAGATTCCAAGTCAGACAGATAATTTAGAGCAGTGGTTCTCAGCCTTCTGGCCCTTTAAATACAGTTCCTCATGTTGTGACCCAACCATAAAATTATTTTCGTTGCTACTTCATAACTGTAATGTTGCTACTGTTATGAATCATAATGTAAATATCTGATATGTAGTATGGTCTTAGGCGTCCCCTGTGAAAGGGTCCTTCAACCGCCAAAGGGGTCACAACCCACAGGTTGAGAACCGCTGCTTTAGAGGGACCATTCACATTTCGCTTTGTGTAACCCATTGCCATGGAAATAGGTGGCATTTTTGTCATTAAAAAAGAAAAACAAGCCCTGATGGAGTGGCTCAGTGGTTGAGCATCAACATATGAACCAGGAGATCACAGTTTGATTCCCAGTCAGGGCACATACCTGGATTGTGGGTTCAGTCCCCAGTAAGAGGCATGCAGGAGGCAGCCGATCAATGATTCTCTCTTATCACTTATGTTTCTCTCGCACTCTCTCTCTCTTCCCCTCCCTTCCTTTCTCTGAAATCAATAAAAACTTTTTTTTTAAAGTTGCTACATAAAAGTATACCACTTACCTAAGGTTTAAAAATATATAAACTACTCTAGATTCTTAGGGCACACAGATACTTAATAAAAGTATAAAGAAATGAGAAAATGATGACCCACTTCGGGATGATGCTTACTTTGGTGGGAGAGGATATGAGCGGAGAAGGGTATACAACTAACAACTTCTAAATGATGCTTTATTTCTTGGCAGGTGTTCTTGGTATTGCTCTTGACACCTTTTTGCAGGTCTCAAATATTTCAAAATAATTTGTAAAAACCCAATTCAAGCTATTCCCCTGAAGAAACATGTTGCCCCAAACGTCCCATCTTGGTCTCAAGACAGTAACAGCTGTTGGTGGGGGACATTAAACCAAATTCTGAAGAGGTGCATACTTACGGCTCAGCAAGCATCATGGGTAACGCATTCTCTTGTATCTTGGATGGTCGGTTGAAGCCCATGGCATAGACTCCCTGAAGAAGCTGTGGTTTCCTGGGAGGCCAGGGAGAGAGAAAAGGAATCTCGAGTTGTTGAGACTGTTTAAAAGGCCTAGATTTTTATCCTTCCCTATATCTAGCAAAGAACGATGCTTCCTATCTTTGTCAGACATATTTTCCTATGCCTTAAAAAAACACAAAAAACACTACCTACAACAAGACGAAACCATCTTTTCCTACTAGATCTTAATCTGTAACTATTATGCAAGTCATAAAATATAGATTAGTTTCCTTTCTCATAGAAATTCATGCTTTCAGCACATCCCCAAATATGATTGGCCTTCTGTGACCAGTGTCCCCTGGATACTGCAAGAGTGGTATTTATTAATTCATGGTGCAAAGTAAATTATAAAAGCCATATTTAAAAGTAAACCTGCTTCCTATGCTGCTAAGAAATAGAAATCCCTTAGGAGAACGGGATTTCAGTTGGAATTTCTCAGCACAGATATTAAAGTGAACCAGCCATTCTGTGTTCAATGGTCCTTCCAAAGCCAGCCTGGAAAAGTCAAGGGCAAATACTTGGAAAATTTGAGAAGAAAATTGATTCAGCCAGTTTCTAGTAGCTGATCTATACAGTACGAGAGGGTTCAGTTATCATCCTGAACTTTACAATGCTCAGATTTATTTATGTCTAGACAAAATCAAGAACAGAAAAGCACCAACTTCTTATATAAGTTGCTCTTACACTGCATTTACAATAAGCTCTCTGCTACCTCTAAACAGGGTGTTTAACAAAAATCATACTAGATGATTTCAAAAAAAAAGTCAAACCAAGTCAAGACTTCTGCCCTGAGCCCTTCTTGGAGTTCAACAGACTCTCTAAAAGGCAAATTCTTCTGGCCTGTGTTGGTTCTCAGACACAAAGAACTTTGAGAACATAACCTGTGGTGTCTGCCGTTTGGAAGAAAGGCTGTAACGCCAGCAGATTCTGACTTGGTTGTCAAGGAAAGAGTCACTACTGAATGAGGATTTTCAAGTGATCTAAGAGCTTCCAGTGACTCAATTTTTTTTCTTTCATTTTGCAGATTAATTCACATCTTTTAAATACAAAAACAGACCAAGTATACTAGGTGACCTAGGTTTCATTCTTTGTTTCCTTTGGCGACCAATAGCTAAATCAGAGAGAACTTGCCTTTTCAGAGGACAATTCATCACTAGTTGAACTGAGAGCTCCAATCCTTTATGTGAAAGAAACTTAAAAAAAAAACCCCACTGATATTTGGAAAAGCAAACGATGAGTTCAGGAAACAGTAGAGCACATCTAGCTGCCCTAACGCAGTTTATGAACAGAGCAGAAATGACAGATTTGTTGAATGAAGCCCTTGAGAGAAAATACAGAAAATTACAATTTCCTGAAATCATTAAAAAACAGCCACACTTTGATTAATGTTAATAGTTGGCAGAAATGTAGCCTCTGTTTGCTCACAGTGGGCATACTACAGATTTTATTGAAAAAAGGTAAAGAATCCATTTATTCCACCACTTTCTTATTTACCAGCTATTTCCTGTCTATGATTTGGGTCCTGGCAGGCAGCAAGAATGTTAGTTTATCTTCTGTCACTCATAACACCCCGCACAGTGGCATGTACATAAACCTATGAGCCATGCACACCTCTTTACTAACTTACTGAAGAAACAAAAAACTTGGTGTGTTCTTTCATAATTATCTCTTTAAAACACTGACACATTAGAAGTCATTCTTAGCGCAGTGTCATCCATGTGCTCCCCTGAGATTCAATTCTGGGTTCTGGACTTTTTAAATGTTGAAGGCTGCTTTGCGCTGTAGGTCCTGGGAATCCTGTACAGGCTCTTTTGACACATTTGATAAAAGCAGGTAAACTGTTCTTAAGACCATAAACCCTATAGTCTAACAAAAGAGCTTACCTAATAAGAAATGTTCCTGACATCCAGAAATCACCTGTCAGCCAATATTTTATTGAAAGTTCTAAGAGCATAAAAGAAAAAAGACTTTCAGCTATGATGAATAAATCTGTGGCATTTAAAAATCCCTATCAAGAGGAGGACCGGGAAGCAAAGAGACAAGGGTAGGAGGGAGACCGTCACTGTCACCTTTTTCATACTTTTTGACTTTTGAATCATGTGAATTATTAACTAGTCAAAGAGATAAATATATTAGGATTTTAAAAAATATGTATCTTATTGATTATTTAGATTTGAGAAAGGAAGGGAAAGGGAAAGATAGAAACAGCAATGAGAAAGAAACATCAATATTGATTGCCTGCCTCCACTGGGGATCAAGCCTGCAACCTGGGCAAGTGCCCTGACCAGGAATCGAACCAGCAACTTCTTGGTGCATGGATCGATACTCAACCACTGAGCCACACCGGTCAAGCAGGGTTTTTAAAAATAAAAGTAAAATTCCCACAAGAATCTGTGTGATGCTGTTTTATAAAAGAGGGACGGATAGGAAACAGCTCAAAGAAACAAACACTCACAGCCGAAGCTCCTCGAAGGACTTCACTGAGTAGAGGGGGGACTTTGGATCCCGCTGCAGGACTTCCACTTGGTTTGTGTTATCAACCAGGTTGCTTCTGATCAGCTTGTTGAGTAAGGACTGGGCAGCTCTATCCTCTGTCAGAAAGAAACCAGTAGATTTTCTTTTTCTAATTTTTAAAATTTTTTATTGATTTTAGAGAGAGCGAGGGAGAGATAGAACTATCGATTTGTTGTTACACTTATTTAACACTCATTGGTTGATTCTTGTATGTGCCCAGACCAGGGATCGAACCCGCAACCTTGGCGTATCAGGATGACGCCCTAATCAACTGAGCTACCTGGCCAGGGTCTCCAGTTGATTTTCTTCACACTCATCTGGCAAACTCCATCCTTATTACACTCCCCTCCCCTTTATAGAACATTCCCTAAAAAGGCTATCTATGTTAATCTCCACTTCCTCTCCCCCTCTTCTGTTGAATGTACACGGAATAGGGTTCTTATTTAACCTCTCCACTTAACCTCAGCCCTTGTCAAACTCACCAATGATGCCTATACTGCTAAATCAATCCAAAAGGCAATTGTTAGTTCTTCTCTTAATCAACTTGTTACCTATATTTGACTCCCTACTTTGGAAAAACTTCCTTCTTCTGATTTCGGGGACAGCACTCTCTTTTGGTCCTATTTCACTGACTGTCTTCTCAATCTCCTTTGTGGAGTCCTCTTCTTCCTCTTCATCTTATAACTAAGAATACTTCTGGCTCCAGAAAGGCAAGTCCTGGGTCATACTGTGTCTCTTGCTACAGGGTTTCAATGAGTAGTTACCTTTCTCTTCTTCATCTGTTTTCTCTGCAGTGGCATTGGTTTTGATAACACCTACACAAGAAAACAGCTGTCATAATCAGAAAGGTAAATATCAAACCCACCCAAAAGGTGGGACAATATAAATACTAAAATTTATTTTACATGATCAAAATGTAAATAGTTGGCACTTCTGTGTGTTTAATAAATTTTTATTCCTATAAAATTTTTAAGTGCATAAGAAAATTTCAATTTTCTGGAAATTTTGGCTGACTTCAAAGTGATCAGCAGAATGTCACCTCTGACGTACTTACCCTAAAATAAACTATAGCTTTATATTAGCAAACATAATTAAACATGAGAAAGAAAAATTAAAAGACAGAGGTAAAATGATCACTTTTTATAGAATGTATGACTGTAAACTTTTAGGGCTAAGTATCAACTTAAGTAAACAGAAATCAGGAGTTTACATAATTATATAGAGAGATATAATTGAAAAGAATCTGACTTATAATAGCAACTAAAAAGATAAAATGTTGCACCTAGAAATAAAGTTAACAAAAATACGCAAGACTTAGATGAAGAAAACTTTAAATCACGAATTAAATAATGCAAATAGGTACAGCTAAAAAACCCCATAAATTTAAATGGGAATCTAAGATATTTACTTAACCCAAAAGAAGGCAGGAATAGAGGCAGAGAACAAAATATAAGGGAACAAACAAATCAAACAGTAAAATTGCTGGGTTGAAATGTGGATTGTGGACCGACCCCCAATTCATATGTTGAAGTCCTAAGAATATACCTCAGAATGTAACCTTGTTTTGAGATAGGGTCATTGCAGATGCAATTGGCTAAGATGAGGTCATTAGGGTGGGCCCTAATCCAAGACGATTAATGTCCTTCTAAAAAGGGGAAATTTGAACATAGATATGCACACAGGGAAAATGCCATGTGAAGACAAAGACAGATTGGGGTGATGCTTCTATAAGCCAAGGAACACCAAAGACTGCCAGATCCTTCCTCACAGCCCTCAGAAGGAACCAATCCTGCCGACAACCTGATCTTGGACTTCTGGCCTCCAGAACTGTGAGACAACAAATTTCTATTGTTCAGCCCTAGCCAGTTTGGCTCAGTGGACCGAGTGTCAGCGTGCGGACTGAAGGGTCCTGGGTTCGATTCCCGTCAAGGGTACATGCCCAGATTGTGGGCTTAATCCCCAGTAGGGGGCATGTAGGAGACAGCCAATCAATGATTCTCTTCCATCATTGATGGTTTTCTCTCTCTCCCTCCCTCTCTGAAATAAGTAAAAATATATATTTAAAAAATAAATTTCTATTGTTCAAACCACCCAGTTTGTGATACTTTGTTATGGCAGCCCTAGCAAACTAATAATAGGTGGAGATTGGGAACTGGGTAAATGGTAACCAGATGGAAAGGCCTTTCACCTGTTTCTACTTTATGAGTTGTTTGTGGGTTTTTATTATTGATTGCAGAGAGGAGGGGTGAGGGAGAAAGAGATAGATACATCAACGATGAGAGAGAATCATTGGCTATCCCCTGCACATCCCCTACTGGGGATGAAGCCCACACCCCGGGCACGTGCTGTGATCGGGAATCGAACCGTGAGCTCCTGGATCACAGGTCAAGACTCAACCACTGAGCCATGCCGACTGGGTACTTTATGGGTTTTGAACCCAGATTAACCTTTAAAAATTTTAAAGAAACATTACCAAGTGAACAGTGACAGAGGCTAGATCAAATCTGGAAAAATAACATATCCCCTTCAGTGTGAAACCGACATTACCGGCTGTCAGATCCAGAGCGAACATTTGCCAAACATGCTAAATGAAAGCTCCTTTTCACATTACAGCTATGAGTACAAAGCTATGAGAAGCAAACGTGTAACTTGTACCAGCTTACAATTACTCGTGACTCACCATTTGTATCTGATTTGACTCTCTCTTCCTTGATCTGCAAATTACTGATCTGAATGGAAATAAAAGAAAACACTTGAGAGCAGAGCCACAGAATAACTTAATACCATGAATTATGTATTAAGCAAATGTACACAAGTCTATATGGTAAAATAAAAAGAGGGGAGGGTTTTTACCAACTATCAGGAAGCAGTATTTTAAAACATTAGGTTACATCAGCCTCCTGATAAGCAAATTGTTTAGAACCCGATATCAAGTATATTCATATCTCATCTAGATTAGGAAAATAGGTTTAAAAAGATGTGAAACAAATTCTCAGTAACTGTCTTTTAAGAAAGAGCTGATGCTAAACACTAGATTGTAAACTCAAGAGCCCTATACTGTATCATACTTTTTAAAAAAATTGGTATCAGAGAGGAAAGGAGAAGGGGAGAGGGAAACATCAATGATGAGAATCACTGGTGGGCTGCCTCCTGCACGCCCCCCGCTGGGGACTGAGCCTGAAACCCTGGCATTCGCCCTGGCTGTGTTTGATTCCCACTGATCTCCTGGTTCATGGGTCAATGCTCAACCACTGAGCTATATTGTCCGGGCCATATCATACTTTTTGAATAAAATATATAAAAACCGAAATCTGTTATTCTGCATAGCTACAAACTACCAACCATGTTAAGCATGGACCTAAAAAAAGTTCAAATAAGGCACTCTCCCTCCTGGGAGCCTATCTTCCCTCTCAGGAGTGCATCTCCTAGACCAGTGGTTCCACCTTGGCTGCACATTAGAATCACGTGGGAATCTTTTTAAAATCCTGATTTCTGGGCCTCATCCTCCGGAAATTCCGTTTCTTTGTTACTAATGTTGTGGCCCCACCCCATAACAAAGAAACAGAATTTCCGGAGGATGGGGCCCAGAAATCAGGATTTTGAACAGATTCCCAGGTGATTCTAATGTGCAGCCGAGGTTGAAAACCACTGTCCTAGACTCTAACGATCCCCAAGAGACTTGCAACCAGGGGAGCAGTGGGCAGCGGCGGCTCCACCCAGGCTCACCCCTGAACCTGCCTCCAAGGCCCCCTCTTCTCTGACTTCCCAGTGAAACCGCGCAGTCCCGCCTCGGCTCTCCTGTTGCTCCTTCTATTCTAAGCACTCCCTTGCTTCACTGTCCCCGGCTTTAATATAGGTACTCTCAAAATCAAAGTTAACGATGTTAAAATAAGAGAAGCACACTGTCGTTCTACTCTTGATGAGAAAGAGAACCAGCCTAAACTTGCCTCTCCTTGACATCCCCACTGGGAGATGCGATACAGAAAAGACAGCATACGTAGCGGGAACAGACTGCCACCGGATAAAAGCCTTAAACTGGCCCAGAGGGAGACAAAAGGCTCGAATCAGCACGGGTTCCCCCGCGGGCCATCGGCCTGCCCCCCCACCCCCACCCCGTGGGCTCCCTGGATTTGGGGCAGGGTCCGCTGGGGCCCTCCTACTTCCTTCTCCCCTGGAGCTGCAGCCACTGACCGACTTGACAGCCGCTTCCTGCTGGTCCACGGCCAGGGCCCACGAGTCGGAGGCCATGGTGCGGAGGGAGGGGGGCCGACTCGCGAAAAATGCACACGCTCGCACAGATCCCGAGCCCGCCGCTGGCGCGAGAAGGCAACTCACGCGGGCCGGAAGTGGTGCTGCTTAAACGTGACGTCAGTTCCGGTGCTAAACGTCACCATTCTGCGCCGCGCCGCGCCCGCTCCCGTCAGGCGCCAAGCCGAGGCCTCCGCGGGTTTCCGCGGGCTTAGCCTCTCGGTGTCTCAATATCTGTCTGTGAAGTGAAACTCTTAGCCTCGCTTTGCCTAACTTCACGCTGAAGTTACCCAAGTTTTATTTTCAAATCTGCCACGTCTCGCTAAGTTTATAAAGCTCTGAACTCTAAAGTTCCCTGAGAATACTACACGATGCCGGTTTCCACTGTTAGGAACGCGGTGACAGGTAAGACGGCAAAAACCAAAGAAACCAAAGCCCTGACCTCCCTCCCCGCCCTCAGCCCCACCCGCCAGAACACAGCGGCCCTGTCCTCTTCGGCCATTCCAGCCCTGGTCCGTCCCCATCGCAGCGCAGGTGTTTTATATAGTCCGACACAAAGCGGGCGTACAGTGTAAACGTCGACCTTTTTGTCATACAGCTGAATGTTTTTAATGTCATGATTACCAATGCACCGGCAGAACGGTCCACTCCATCACACTCGTATCACGTCCGTTGCCTATCTCCTTCCTGGCGTTTTATCACTTGGTAACCCTTCAGCAGACATCCGCTCACCGTCAGAAGGTATCTTACCTGTTTGCTGCCTGTTTCCTTTCGTCTCTCCCCACTAGAATACGAACTCTTTAAACAAGAGCAAAAATCGTATGTCTCGGTCAAGCTGCTGGTTAGTGAACCTAGAAGAGTTCAGGGCACATAGTAGGCTCTCAGATATCACCAGGCAACAGAGGGGAGAGGAATGTTCCTCAGACAGTAACGGAGGCCTCTGGCCGGTGCGGCTCGTGAGTTGGGCCTCGGCGTTGTACCAAAAAGGCCGCCAGTTCGATTCCCGGTCGGAGTTCATACCCGGTTGCAGGCTCATAAGCCAGTCACCGAAAAACAAGTGTGGACGGTGGAAGAGTCACGATCCCAGAGACAGGAAGTACAGTGATAGTTCCCAGGGAAAGGTCATGGGAATGGTCTATTGGGTATGCTTTCCATTGTACAAGATGAAGAGTGAATAGAGCCGCTGGCGTGGCTCAGGGGTTGAGCATCAACCTATGAACCAGGAGGTCACAGTTCGATTCCCGGTCAGGGCACATGCCCAGGTTGTGGGCTCGATCCCCAGTGGGGGGCGTGCAGGAGGCAGCTGATCAATGATTCTCTCATCATTGATGTTTCTCTCTCTAGTTCCCTCCCTTCCTCTCTGAAAGCAATAAATATGTTTATATATTTTTTTAAAAAAGAGTTCGGCCCTAACCGGTTTGGCTCAGTGGATAGACTGTCGGCCTGCGGACTGAAGGGTCCAAGGTTCGATTTCGGTCAAGGGCATGTACCTTGGTTGCAGGCACATCCCCAATAGGGGGTGTGCAGGAGGCAGCTGATCGATGTTTCTCTCTCATCAATGTTTCTCTCTATCCCTCTCCCTTCCTCTCTGTAAAAAATTAATAAAATATATTTTTAAAAAAAGAGTTCATGGAGATGGACTGTGGTGATGGTTGAACATTCTGAATGTATTTAACACCACTGAACTGTACTCTTAAAAATGATTAAGATGGTAAATTTTATATTTTACCGCAATAAAATAGAACTGGAAAAATTGGGGGCTAGGAGTGGGAAAGGTTAAAATAGGAGAGGGAGAGCCGCTAGAACAAGTCCTTAAAAGCCACAGGAGAGAGTTTAGTGCACTGATAGGAAAATTTAGACAATTAGGACCCCTCCTGCTGTAACAGGAGGAGAAGGAAGACGTGTGCTTGGCGATAAGTCTGGTGGCGGAAGGCTGAGGGTGTCTCCTGTGTTGGCTGTTTCCTCGGATTAGGGAGAGGATTTGCTGAAACCTGAGGGAGAGGATGGGGTGGGAAGTTTGAGGTGAGTCTTGAATGACCCCTGAACAGAGTGGGGGAGTTAACCAGAAAGGACGGATGACCCGTAGGTTAGAGGCACTGCAGCTTTTCCTAAAGTTGTCCCCTCCACTGATGTTGAATATGAAGTCAGATAAATAGGACAATATTTACCTCCTGGTCGTAGTATAGACCTACTTGCTTTAGAAATTAACAAAGCAATACTGAAACACTGGGACCTGTTTTGTTAAACTTGGACTCAAATGGCATTGGTTTATTAGGATGATTTCCATGCAAATGAAGAAGTTGTTGGTGTCTGAGAGGGACGCAGACCAGATAACAATACACCTGGTCATGGCCACACAACCTGACCAGGGCCTAACTCATGTCCTTTCAAGTCTTAAGTGTGGAGACATTTGCTTTCAGGAGTAGAACAGACTAGTTGGCTTTTCTTCAATTGGACTGGAGGCATATAAATGATATAACGGAAAAGTTGTAAAGACTCACAAAATGTGTACTAGTACTTCCCAGAGAGCTCTATGTAAACAACCCCTCTTCCCATTTCCTCTGGGAGAAGGAAATGGCTGTAGTCCTGGGCAATAAGACTACCCAACCACCTCTGCCTATTAGATACTGATAAAGCAGAGTCGGTAAGTATCTCATTGGAGCAGCTGACATACCAGCCACCACTGTCAGGCTTCACTTAATATTCTTTTCTCCACCTACTCCTATACCCCATTTTACTTAAAATTTTTTTATTGATTTCAGAGAGGGAGAGAGAGATAGATACATCAGTGATGAGAGAGAATCATTGATCAACTGCCTCCTGCATGCCCCACACTGGGGATTGAGCCTCCAACCCGGGCATGTCCCCTGACCAGGAATCAGACCATTATCTCCTTGTTCATAGGTTGATGTTCAACCACTGAGCCATGCATGCTGGGCCCCATTTTACTTTTAGAACTATCTGTATTCAAAACTACTTTGGAGAACCTACTTGCTCTCCTGAATACTAACCAGAACAATTTCTAAGCCAAGGAAGAAGCATCTAACAACAGTGGCATGAGGAAGAGACATAAAGTAGGAGTGTAACATCTTCCAAGCAGATCCCCACCTGGCCTCACACTTCCCACTAGGTGTTTGAAGCTACTCTGGGGAAACCCTGTCCCAGATCTAGGATTAGGGCACTGGAGCCATCTACCATCAGCCCCTCAGTCTCCTCACCTCCATTGTATCATTTTTAGAAGTTGCTGTAATCTGAGTCAACAGAATAAGGAACATTTATTCTCAATCAGAAAAGCAAAGTCAGGTAAAACTGCAGGGGTTCCTAAGAACCTGCTATCTATGTCCCAGACCAGGAGAAACCTAAAGAAAGTCTCTGAAATCTACAACAGCTTGGGAGGTGTTGGTGGAGAGAGGCCAGTCCCTCTTTAAAGATGACAGGCCTGACATCATACAGGCTGTGTAGGAGACTCAACACTGATCCGATCTTTTCTTCCCTTTGCGTTTCTCCCCAGAATTATTTTGAATAGTGTATCTAATTATTGAGTTACAAATCATCTTTGGAATAAAGATAGTAGATAGGCATGTAAGCCTGCCCTTCATCCTCTGTAACATCCCTCCAGTCCATTTTTTTCCCTGCATTCTCAGTACAACCAGTGACATCCTGTCACTTGCTGTGTGATGGGACTGATGCAATAATTTTCTAACTGGTTTCTCAGAGGCCAGCCTTTTCAGCTTCAGTATATCCTGTACACCTCTACTAGACCAATTTTCCCAACCGCTCCCCCTGCAAAACACAATTTCACCACCTCCTGTGTTTTAAGAATCTATAATTTACTAATAAATCCAAATCCTGCAAACAACCAAATCTCCATTTTCTACCTATTGAGGCTTTTCTCTGCCCACATGGCTAGGCTGCTTACCTTATTACCCTTCCTGTATACGGTGTTTATCCTGGTGAAGTTACTATAGTCTTCATAGGACCAGTCTCTGCAGTGGTCAGCAAACCACGGCTCGCGAGCCACATGAGGCTCTTTGGCCCCTTGAGTGTGGCTCTTCCACAAAATACCACATGCAGGAAATACTATTGCAATTGGGGCAACCACATACAGTGCGATCGAAACTTCGTGGCCCATGCGCAGAAGTCGGTATTTTGTGGAAGAGCCACACTCAAGGGGCCAAAGAGCCATATGTGGCTCGCAAGCCGCAGTTTGCCAACCACTGGTCTAAGGCATTCTTCTTGTCACTTGAAATCCCTTTTCCCTCATAAGCAAACTCCTTCATGAATCTTCCCTAGCCTTGGTTATCCTTACCTTTGTTAAAAAAAAATATATTTTTATTTATTTCAAAGAGGAAGGGAGAGGGAGAGAAACGTCAATGATGAGAATCACTGATTGGCTGCCTCCTGCAAGTCCCACACGAGATCAAGCTGGTAACCAGGGCATGTGCCCCGACTGGGAACTGTGACCTTCTGGTTCACAGGTCGATGCTCAACCACTGAGCTACACCAGCTGGGAGGAAATCCTTACTTTCTGAATACCGAGGCACTTTGAATGAAATGGCCCTCAAGTTAAATAATAAATGACATGGGGCCCTGGTCTGTGTGGCTTAGTGAATAGAGTATTATTCTGGGCACCGAAAGGTCTAGTGTTCTACTCCTGGTCAAGGGCACATACCTGGTTCAATCCCCAGCCCCGGTCAGGGTGCATCAGGAAGCAGCCAATCAATGTGTCCCTCTCACATGGATGTGTCACTCTTTTCCCTTCCTCTCCCTCCCCCACTTCCACTCTAAAAAAACCAAAGGAAAAAATATCATTGGGTAAGGACTGACAAAAACAAGAGATGGGAACAACAAAGGGAGAAGACCTCTTTCTGAATCCCATTTTTATTCCTTTCCTAGGACTAGAAAAATTGAATGTAAGAACTTTGTATTTGCTAGCATCTACATTCTTTCTAATTAGCCAGCATCCTCTGGTTTACCAGCAGGAAAAAAGGGAATGTGAACAGACCTCTGGCAACTGGGTAGGGCCGGCCCTTGGCCTATGGAGCCATCCCAACTACTCATGTTGGAGCAATGTCAACTTTGAAATGGAACAGTAATATAAGGTGATGACTAGCTTATAGAATAATAGGTGAGTCTTCACTTATGTATGATTACTAATATCAGCAACCAAAACATGCTGTTTTCTTCTTATAGTCATTAATGATATCTTAGTAATATGAATATATCACAATTAGGTTCAGTTAATATTAGTAAAGAATACATCAACAATTGATTAGTTTTTATGCATATAGCCAATGAACGACACGCAAAAAAACCAATAAAATCAATTGTTTATGGATAATGAATATATCTAGAATCTGCCATTGGATCAAAAAATCTCCTTTTCCCAAGTGAATTTTTGTTCTAGGGCACAGTTTATCATTCTATATCTAGGAACAGTAAAAGAAATTCTGTTCACCAAGGGCTCAATATTTTTACATCACTGATGTCTCAAAACTCGACAAGGTCACAGAGGCAGCTTTGGTCTACTGAGCCCTGGGAGCCAAGCACTGGTCGCAGTGAATATGGTCTATGAAGGCACATGGACTGCAGTGACACAGGGGTGACATTCCAGAGCTATCCATAACAGTGAGTCTGACGTTTTTAAAACACACTCCTTTGGGAGTCTCCCCCTGGAAAATGCATTTAAACTCAATACTGCATATACTTCAGACTCCATAAAACCCATCCAGTGAATTCTTTGGGGTCAGATTAAGAACCATTTATCTAGATTTCTACCATATACCCATTTATTCCTACTATTGAAGAGTCTGAAACATCCCTTCCCATTTTGCTGCCCAGATTTAGGGCTCCTCAGAAGATGGGTTATACGTGCTGTGAGAAGGTGGTGGTGCAGCCTCATGAGGAATCTGTAGTCCTTTAATTACTGCCTTTGTCTTTAGTTATTTCAGGGTTGGTCCCAGGACTTCGGTGGGGGGGGATTAAATTTCTTCTGTTATATGACTCCCAGAGTAGGTCAGAGCTGGCCAGAAGCAGAGAGAAGACTATACAGTCAAGTGCCCAGTGGAGGAATGTAGCAGGATTGGCAGAGTGTTAGTCTCTGTGCAGTATCTGTAATGTCAGATTAAGGTAACCACCTGGAAGCTGGTAGAGTCCCTTTCCTTTCCCAAGACCAGAGCTAGTCCTAAAACATAGGAACACCTACAAGGAAGGTCTGGGATTTGAGTAGTTCTCATCACAGAAAACCCCTCTTCCACGCCTGGTCCTAGGCAAAGTGGCCATTCTTTATCAGACTCTAAGAGAAGAAGAGGACCCCTTTTGGTTGGACTCCTATTACTCTTGTAACTCAGTTTCATCTCATCTTTGCTCTGTCACTTCGTGCGTACCAACAGTCTTGGTCAGACCTGAAGAAATGTTCATTACTATTATTTGCTCCGACTACTCTGCACAAAGATGCCAAATGGAGTAAAGGTCTTGGCAGTTACTCTTGCCTTGTACACATGAATGGTTGTATTCCACCTAGTCCTTTAGTTGTACTTAGTTGCACAAAGATGTCCAGTATCTTTTCACAGTCAAGGTGCCAAATACCTGAACTCATTCATCAGCTGTTACAACACTTGTCTTCTGGGATCTGAAGACAAAGCAAGGATTTGTGATTACTGCGGATCACTTCTGGAACTGCCCTGAGGCTGGCTATTCGTGACTTGAAACCACAATTTTCACTGAGGATACAAATCTCACATCACCTTATATTTACTCAAGACTCCTAAGGGGTCAAGGATGTAAAAAAGATGCTGCAAATGCCTGCGAGACCAGGTTTTAGGCAAGCTAGAGCCACCACTAATTCTCCACGATGACTTAACAGGTCTTGCTCAAGCACAGGTAAGGGATGTACCAGTAATCAGATGTGCACTGCACACAGATTGCACATGCTGAAAAGAACAGGTCATGGTCCTACAACACAAACTTGGCACCCACCAAAAAAAATCCCTGGTTGGCATTTTGGTCCATGCTTAGCATTTTGGTTCGTGCTTAGCAAATCCCCTCCTGCTGTGGGCTTCAGTACAGAGTTGGCTGATAACACTCAGTTGAGCTATCCCACCCCAAATCCAAACCAGCAGCTCACAGCTCTCCTCTGCTGCCTCACATCTTACTCCCAACATGATGGGTTGCTTACACACCTGTCCTACTTGGGGCTTCTCTCTGTGTTCCCTCTTCACCTCTGTTCTGTCACTTCCAGTAGAGCTGGTGTGGGCCTGAACGCTCCTACCCAGACAGCAGGCAGAGGCTACCGGACATATTCTGAGCAAGTGCTCATTTAGTACAGCATCTAGATTAGTGTAACCATGCGGAAAACACTGGCCAAAAAACAGACAGAATTTCCAAAAGGTAAATTTCTGTGTATTCACGCCTAATCTTCCAAAAGTTGTGTAAATAATTTTATCTACCTTCCCCCATCATTTGCACAATTTTTATCAAGTCCAAACGTAATTTAAAATGAGGTAGGTAGTTTCTCTCTAATCGTGCCTTCATCTTTGCGGCAACTGTTGAGGCCTGTACTTGAAAGCACTAGTCTCCCACTTAGGGGGAGCCAAGGGTGGGCAGCAGGGACTGGTGGAGCTTCTCAGTTGGCTATTTTCTCAATCTCATCCAAATCATCCGTGTCCAATCTTTCGATTTTCTTATCTGAGAATAAAAAAAGATTCAAAGAGAGATCAACATGGGGTTACATGGAGAGACACACCTAGGCAAGGGGCAGCCCAGCAGGGAGAGAAAACACACAGGTCTCTACCCTGGCTAGGAAAGAGCCCTGCCTCTGTCCACATCCATCCTCCAGTTAAACCCAAAACCTGCTGTCTGGGTTCCTAGACACTGACAGCAACAGTCCAAGTCCAAGGCCCTCAGCCTGGCCAAGGGAAACTGACACTCAAGACCTGACACTGAACTCCCAGGTATGGTCCTCCCCAGGCCACTCTTGCCAAAGCGGCCAGTGTGCCCGATCCAGTGCAGGTAAGTCTCATCGTCTGGGGTCCCATCCTTGTCCACAGGAAGGTCAAAGTTGATGACAACAGACACCTGTTCAACGTCGATACCTGCATGAAGGAGAGATGGAGAAAAGTAAGGGATGGGAGTCAGTCAGGCCACGTACACCAAGTTTGGTTGGAGAGAGTCAGGGTGGGCCAGCTCTGGGATTCCGGGACAAGGAGCACGGAGCAGAACCCAGAGGAAAACCACAGGACTTTGGCAGGTGCTAACAAAATTAAGAACTCAGTAGGGGAGCCTCTGCTAGACACTAGTGTCAGGAGATGCAGCTGAAACCTCAATGGCTGCCCCAAGAAGAGCAGGCGCCATTGTAAACCAGTCAGAAGCCTGTACCTTTCCTTCCACCAAGTCAGGACTCGGTTTCTGTGAGAGTTCTTCTCTGCTGAGGGAATCCAGTCTCTCCTAGAAAAGGACGTCACCACCAACCCCACGTGACTTCTCTCCAACCACCTGAGTTGTTCTCTTGCCACCCCGAGGCTGGCAGACCAGGACAAGTTCTCTGCTCACCACGGGCACACACGTTGGTGGTCACCAGAACCTTCTCTTTGCCCTCTCGGAAGCGCTCAATCACCGCAGCCCTCTGCTCCACCATCATCTCCCCACTTAGCAGAGCCACCTGGTGGCCTTCTCTTGAGAGCTCTGCTGCCAGCCAGCTGGCTGTTTTGCGGGTCTGGAGTGAAAAGAATTGTTTTAAATGAAGATACCTGTAAAAAAAAAAAAATGAAAACACCTGCAGAAAAGTGGCTTTTTGCCATTTATATACATGAAGACCTGCAGCATTCAGCCAGCAGGTTAGACTTAAAATTTTTCAAATAGAATTTTAGCCATATAATATATTTTGGATGAATTATTTAAATGATCTTAGTGTTCATCTAAGAAGAATGTGGTTTTTACTCAAGGTTTTCATTCCTAAAAAGTTTGTCTTAATATTTTAACATTATTTCATTGGGTGTTATTTGGAGTTTTTTTCAAGTTATCTCTAAGAAGTGGGATTCAAGATGGTTCCATTTTCAGTCTTCCCCTTATAACTCATTTCATTATGAGGAGAATATGCCCTAGGGCAGGTAGAAGTGATTCACTTTCTTTCTAGTCCCACAGGAGAAGCTGGTCCTCCTCAGCATGAAGGTGGAGCTGGCTGAGAGGGAGGGGGCTGGACACCTTCCCATGGAACTCCCCGCCAGGCTGGCCTGCTGCTGCTGCTGCTACTCACGTGGCAGAAGATCATGGCCTGAGCGATGGTGATGGCCCCGTAGAGGTTACACAGGGCCTGGAACTTCTCGTCTCTGTTATTGCACAGGACGTAGTACTGCTTGATTGTGTCCAGTGTCTCCTCCTCCCGCTTCAGTTTGATGATGTTTGGGTCTGGGACCACTTTCTGGGCAAATTTCCACACCGAGTCTTCAAAAGTGGCAGAGAAGTTCCCCCCGGACCCAGCGTCCTACCTTTGGATGCGGATGCTCTGGTCTTGGTGGCCCTGAGTAGCTATCATCACATCAGCCTCATCCAGAACAAACACCTTGATCTTCTTGGGGTCAATGAACTTGAGCTTGGAGCACCAGTCTAAGACAGTCCCAGGCGTGCCAATGACAATGTGCTCACTGATCTTCTGACCTCTTTCCACTGTGGAGACAAGATGTTTTTCATAGGTATGTCCATGGCAAACCAGCTCTCCTTTCTGAGAAATTCTAAAGCTTTGATATATTTTAATACAATTTTTTTGATGTTTGCATTAATATTTTAAGGAAAGGTTAGGCTATCACTACAATATTTCATGGACACACACAGAAAAGACAATGCTGAAAAGATATACTAAGGACAGAAACAATGAGAAGATAAAAAAACTCTTTGTGGCATTCTTTCCCATTTTATATTATTTTTCAAAAATCTGTTACCTTTTTAAATTTGTATTGTTAATCCTTAAGGGAGGACATTTTTTCCATTGATTTTTAGAGAGTGGAAGGAAGGGAGGAAAAGAGACAGACAGACAGACATTGATGTGGCAGAGACAACTTGACTAATTGCCTCCTGCACCCTCCCCAACTGCATGCTCTGAACTGGGGTTGGGGAATTAAACCTGCAACCCAGGTAAGCACCCCTGACTGGGAATTGAACCCTTAACCCTTTGGTGCATGGGCCAATGCTCTAACCATTGAGAACACTGGTCAGGGCAAGGACCTGTTATCTTTATTTCCTCTCTGTCAGCATGGTTCCCTCTAGATGAGGATTGCATTTCCTCATAATAGACATTTTCAAAGTTCTCCTCACTCTAGTGTACTCTGCTCCTTAACTCTTCTAGCATTCACATCAAACAAGTCAGTTGCTTTTATACACTTCATGCCCAGATCAATAAATAGGGTTCATTATGAAAGACTTTGTCTTTTCAAACACAATCTACCTCCCTTAAAATGCTTCCCAGACTAGGCCTGGCAGACCATGACACGTTCTAGACCCTGTGCAGTATGAAATTGAGAATTTGGTTCTTCATTTTCAATTAGATGGTATTTATTGATTCAAATTTTAGCACTTATTTATACTCTTGACAAGACATAAACAATTTCCCTCTAGTCACAGCCAAAATTTTGCCCAAATGTGAATCAAATCAAAGCTAACAAATGCTGCCTTTTTTAAAATTTCAGTTAACAATTACTGCCCCTCATAAATAAATTATTCAAAATCCTATCATTCTAACTCAAATCCAAACTAACATTTTAAACGTCTTATGATAATTTTTCACTAAGTTTTATTATCTTACTTTTCAGAACTAACTTCACAAAAGGATGTTGTACACAGAGTAGATTTCTGCGAGTCATAAAGTTAGAAGTTTGTGTTAAAGATCCATAGGACTCAACCAAACTTCCAAGAAAATTTAAATTACTTAAATATTGTCAGTTTGTTGTAAAACAAAGGTAGAAAATATGTAAAAAATAAAAATAAACTACCAGAGTTAACTGCCATGAACATTCTAGAACATTTTTGTTCTTCTAATGACATTAAAAAGAAATTATGCAATTAAATCCAGAACTTGAAATATTTTATAAGCAAAAAGGTGTGTTCAAAAAGTCAAATGTAATGTGAAGTGACTATTCTAGATTAAAAGAAATGTAAGGAGATAACCAAATGCAATGTGGATACACTCCCTCAATCTTGATTCAAAACAAAAGAGCCATAAGGAAACACTTTTGGGACAATTGGGGTAAAATGAAAATGACTGGGTATTAGTCATTAGAGAATCTATTAATTTTCTTGGTTGTGATAAGGGTATTGTGGGTATGCTGAAGAATGTCTTCATCATGAAATGCATACTAAAGTATTAGGAATAAAAAGCCACAATGTCTGCAATTTACTCTCAAACGATTCACCAGAAATATCTATATACACATAAAGCAAATATGGCAAAACGTTAAGTTTTCAAATCTAGGTGAAGGGTACACGTGTTCATTGTATTGGTTTAATTGTAAAATTTAAAAAAAATTATTAACTTAATGAATTAGGATTACATATTCATACTCACATTTATTGCCTCGAACAGCATAAGCTAGCTTCAGCTCTGGGTAAAATTTGCCCATCTGCTCAATCACTTTTCCCGTTTGAAGGGCAAGTTCATACGTTGGGGAGAGGCACAGACACTGGTAGAAAGAGTGCAGAGTGAGAAGTCAAGACAATAGCTCTTTTGCAATGGGGAGTTACATCAGGACTTAGTTATTCTTCCAGCTAAGGCTGAAGGAAAGGATATATAAAGTGTACACATTTGATTCTTTAAGCTGCAAAGTCATAAGGTAGAATTTTTAGGGGCCAGAACTCTGGCTGGGTAAAGATACTTGGAAACAGCTACTGGCCAGTAGAGTACCAAAACCTACAAGTGAGCAAGGATCTGAAATTCAAATGGGAGATTAGCTTCCTTTTCACTTTCTCAGAAAGTTCTCAACTTTCTAATGGATGAATAATTGTAGATGAAGGAGGTTTTTCCTGCAAGTAAAGGGGCCAAGCCTATCAGCAGTATCCTAGAATTGGCAAACCATGGAAGAGAAGAGGATTTTTGTTACTAGATCAACTATGTTGTTTGTACCCAACTTAAGGAGCTCTAGTTTATGTAAAAGGTAATATAAGACATGGCTTTTAATCCATCAAATGGCACTTCCCTTCTAGCTATGCATTAGCAGAAAACCCAAATTCACCAAGTCCTTACCTGGGGGTATCTGTTTGCAGGTTCAACATGGCTGAGCATGGCCAACACAAAGGCAGCTGTTTTACCAGTACCAGACTGAGACTGGGCAATTAAGTTCTGTGGGCTGCACAAGAAAACGAGCTGTTCAGTAGCTTAAATCTCAAGTATCCTTTCAGTTAATAAAAATGAATGTTTCAAGTTAAAAAAAAGATTTCCATCTTGAAGTAATGTTGTTGTTATGACACAGAACAAAGAACACTTAGAGAAAATACTTAAAATATGTATTTTTAGACAAATAGCTTACTAGAAATTGTGAACCTCCATCCCACCTCAAATCTACTGAAATCAGAATTTGCATTTTAATAAATTCCTATGAGACTCATAGGCTATGAAAGTGTGAGAAGCACTGCACCATTCTGGTCTCCTAGAACAGTTTTTAGCCTATATATTTGATACAATAAACTATATATCCATATAATGAAATCATGGTGTATATCAGGGGTGAGGAACCTTTTTCCGCCAAGGGCCACTTGGATATTTATAACATCTTTCGTAGGCCATACAAAATTATCACCTTAAAAATTAGCCTGCTATATTTGGTTAAATGTTTAACTCACCCCTAATGGCATGGCAGGGCCAGACCAAATAATTTCATGGGCCTCATATGGACGTTTCCCACCCCTGAACTGTATATGAATGATATAAATGTGTATTTCCCAACATAGAAAGATGATCATATAAATATTTAAAAGCATATAAAAGCTTATATGTAAATGTCTGCCCTGGCCAGTGTGACTCAGTAGATTGGAGTGTTGTCACATGCACCAAAGGACTGTGCATTCAATTCCTGGTCAGGGCACATACTCAGGTTGCAGGATCGATTCCTGGTTGAGGCAGATGTGGGAGGCAACCAATTGATGTTCCTCTCTCACATCGATGTTTCTCCATCATCTCTCTCTCTCTCTCTCTCTCTCTCTCCTCAAAATATGAATAGCATGTGGAGGAGGGAGATTACAAATGATTTTTTTCTTTTTTATTGTTTTCTAACTTTTCTAAAATTAGCATATATTAGTAGTATAGTTTTTTTAATAAAAGTTTTAAAATGGAAAATTAAAAATGGAATAGGGCTATGTCAGGACACATACGGCTCAGCAAGCATCAAAGGCAATGCATTTTCTTGTATCTTGGATGGACGGTTGAAGCCCATGGCATAAACTCCCTGGAGAAGTTGTGGCTTCCTGGAAAAACAATTAATGATGCCAGTCAGTCTTTTTGGTTGAAGAAAGAAGCCAAATATATGGGGAATTTTTTTCTCTTTTTAACTGGTGTTACCCACAGCTTAGAACTAACAAACTTGAACTGTGCTGAACTGAGTCCAATGTGTAAAGTAACATTTTTATAGATTACCTGGAAATTTTACTAAATAGCTCAAAGCAGCTAATGTTTTAAAATTAAATTTGTTTAGCTAAAAGTTTTCTATGATAAAAAAATATAACAAGTATAGGATAGCTATCTAAACACAAAGGGGAGAGTGAGAAAGCAAACAAGTACTCACAACCGAAGCTCCTCAAAGGACTTCACTGAGTAGAGGGGGGAGTTTGGATCCCGTTGCAGGACTTCCACTTGGTTTGTGTTGTCGACAAGGTTGTTTCTGATGAGTTTATTGAGTAAGGACTGGGCAGCTCTGTCCTCTGTCAGGAAAAAGAGCAAATAATGTTAAAAGTCCATGAACTCTACCATGAGCCCCTCTGAATTTAACTGCCATTGGTATTTTAAGCAGTAATATTTTTAAAAAATAATTCTTTATTGTTGAAAGTATTATATATGTCCCCTTATTTCCCCCATTGATCCCCTCCTGCCCCTCCTCATACCCCCATTATGCAGTAATATTTGTACTGGGACTCCCCCCCCTCCTTTTTTTAAAGAATACTTTATATTGATTTTTAGAGAGGAAGGGAGAGGAAGCCCAAAACCCAGGCATGTGCCCTGACCTGGAATTGAACCAGCAATCTTTTGATGCACAGGATGAAGCCCAATCAACTGAGCCACACTGGCCAGGACTGTACTGGGACATCTAGTTCAAGGTATATCATAGTTTTTACTTATAAATATGATTAGTTTGTTTTATTAACAAGCGAGATTATGATACTCATAGCATCCATTGGGCCTCATATTCTTCTTCAGAACTCTATTCCTAACTGTCCTTTCCTGAGATTATTTCTCCTATCTAGACCCAAATATTTCTCCCCAATTTGTGCTTAATATAATCTTAAAACTAGAGGCCTGATGCACAAAATTTGTGCAAGGGTCTTGGCCCCAGCCCCTGCCTGCTGCCGCCACTGGGGGCCTCTGCCGTGGCCCCTGCCCACTGCGGCTTTGTCCGGAAGGAAGGATGTCTGGAAGGACGTCTGGTCTAATTAGCATATTATACTTTTATTATTATAGATGATTAATAAATATAATCACAATAATGAAAAAATTAAAATCTGTATCTTGATAACATATAAGTTGCTTGCATCTTAAATATATTGAAATGTCATTAATTTTATTAGACAACTAGAGGCCTGGTTCACGAAATTCGGCCTGGCCAGCAACCAGGCCTGGCCAGCGACCAGGGCTGTCAGGGCCTCCTGGCTGCTGGCCAGGGCTTCCCTTTCCTGGCTGCAGGCTGGGGCCTTCCTTCGTTCCATGCCACCCCCTGGTGGTCAGCACACATCATAGCGAGTGAAGGAACTCCCCCCGGTCTCCCAATTGAACTCCCAAGGGACACTTAGCCTTTTATATATATAGATGGGATGCAACTTAAATGTTTTTTTTCTTTTTTCCAAAGGCAGTAAAATTTCTTTTCTATTGCCTTGTAAAAAATAATCATTCAGGGAATATTTCCTGCTGCTGCTGAAGTTCATCACTTTTCAAAGTAAAATTTCTGTAAAATTTAAACAATTAGAATTCCTTCACCAACAATTATGTTAGCACTGTGATTCCCATTAAAGTAAAGCCAAGTTGGGTGTATAAATGAAGCCTCTTAACAATCCATTCTCTTAAGCTATAGAATCTTAGTATGTAGATCTCAGGCTGTGTTACCTTTCTCTTCTTCATCTGCCTTCTCTGCATTAGCGTTGGTCTTGACAACAGCACCTTTATCAGATACAAAGTGGCATTCAAAATCACATCCCAAACCCAACAGCTGAGATAATTCAAATTCTACTAGACACTAGAAATGTAAAGGCCTGAGGAGCAAAAAAAAACAATGAGGAAACCAAGCCACAGATAAAAACATTTTATGGTTCCTACATAAACAAAGGTATGAAACACTATAGCTTATATTTTAATCCTTTAGTCCTCTCACCAGACTTCAAAAACTAATGTTAATTTCCCTCATAGCATCAATATTTATGAAATGTTGTAGAATGATTACAGAAGTCATTGATCAGAAATCACTTTGATGCTCAAAACCTATGCAAGTCTAATTTCATCCATATATAAATACAATAATGCTATTAAGTCTATGTATATGAATTGTTGATTAATAGAATTGCTGATTAATAGAAATTTATACTCAAACACTGTTGTAGTTTTGTGAAAATACACACAGAACAGATTGTAAGTGAATTCTGTAAGGTAAATGTTACAATTTTTTCCTTATAATAAGTACATCAACAAAAATTTAATGGAGATCTTAGATTTGGGGTACATGCTTTCAGAATAATTATAATAGGTTGCTCATACTTTGTCTAGTCCATCTCAAATTGAGGATTATTTTTAAAAATAACAAATAATCTTTGACAGTATAGTCTCATGGTTAGTAATAAATTTAATAATGTATAAGCCAATTAGGTATCCTCATGCTTATATTAAACACAATATAAACAAAACAATTCAATTTATTGATTTCCAAATCAAATGACTGCCAGTATCTGCCAGCCCCTGGTCTGGTTACATATATAATGTTTTTCCAGACAGTTATGTCAAAACAGAAATACTAGAATAAATCTCATTTGTTTGCAAACTAGCTTTTAGTTACTCACCATTGGCATCTGGTTTGATTTTCTCTTCCTTAAGATGCAAGTTGCTCAACTAAATGGAGAATATAGGGGAGGATGGAAAGTATCAGGAAAATCAAGTATAAGATTTTAAATCAACAGAGCCTCCCCAGTGTAGCTGGGGAAACATGAGCCACTCTCAAGACCTATTCATTAGATTGTTCTGCTGGGCTCCTTTTGTAATCCCTAATTATAATCCCTAATTACAATCTCTAGAGAAAATGAATTTATGAGTTTGCTTAATTTTCTGATTACAAAGACCTCTTAATAGAATATCAGTTGAGTTGTCATGTTCTCATATTCCAAACAAGAGGAAATTTAAAGAGATTTTGGAAAATGCATCTGTAAGTAAGAATCAGTTATGTTACAAGGATATGTCTGAGCCACAGGACCACAGCATACTGATATGCAGCCTTACGTTCAGGTTGTCTTGTGCTGGATGTCTGATATTTTAAAGTTGGAACAGCTTGGAGGATTGTTGCATGCTGTGTAATCAAAATACGCAGCAGGCTGAAGTGGGAATAGATAGGAAGGGACAGAGCAGAGACATTTCAAAGAAAGAATTATCAGGACTTTGATCAGACGCTGTAAATTAGGGATATCCTGGCAGGACTTATTTCCCCTATTAGAATGAAAATACCCTTTTAGTTGTCAATCATACCTCAATAAAGCTGAAAAAAGAAAAATACCTTAAAGACAGGAGTTATTTTTAATTGATTTTTGGATATACTAAGCAGGTGATATACTCTTAAAATATTAAATGGTGCCAAAGGCAACCTAGTGCAGGGTAAAAGTATGAAAATCATAATAAAGGGTATTTCTTAAAGCATCACCAACACAGGTTCTTTATGTCTTGAGGTTCATTTCTGCCTTTCCTCTAAGTCTCAGAAGGGTTTGGAAAGGGAGGAATGAAAAAGTTGTTTGTTTTAATGGGTGGTTAGTTAGGAATAGAGGAACTTCTGATGGAAACTGAAAAGAGGATTTCTGGTGTCTGACTGCTTTGGTGTTGTGGGGAAGAGGGAACACACTAGAGAGCCTGGCAAGAAAGGAAATTGGCAAAAAAAAATCATCATAAAGCAGTAAAAATCTTCATTAATTCTGAAGAATAGAGAACACATTAATAGGTAATGAAATGAAGCAATCAGCACAGTACATAATATATAGTTTAGGTATTCAGTTATTTTAGTCTTCACTAAGGTATTCCTCCTTCACATCCTGCCAATGAACCTAGTTTAAGTCCAGCAGTATTCAGGGCTGTTAAAGGAGAGAGAGACTAACTGACTTGCAATATTTACAAGAGTAAGGTTAATAGTATTCACTCCTAGGGTCATTTTTTAAATCAAAGTGAAGAGTAAGTAGCTAAAATACACTGTGTAGGGTGAGAAAAATAAAATACAATGTGTAGTGAAAGTTGGTAGCAACAATGTAAATGAAACAAATAGATATTTTAATATAAATGTATCAGAATTCTGGAGAGGTTCCAGCAGAATCTAAAAACATAGCCCTCATTTGACTACAAGGATCTCAAAGCCCATAAGGCAAAAACAGCAGGACAAGTTTCTATTATCCACGTCAGTGAGTTAACTGAACACTGAAACTTATGTTGAAAGCAGTTAGTTCAGATACCTTCCTTTGCTCTATTTATTTGGACCAAAAATGAAAAACCAATTTCTCTTGTGTCTTCATTGGAAACCACCTTAAAATTCAGAAAGTTAACCAAAAGGCAAAAAAGTAAAAACATCTACCTTATAATATCCACATTTTTCAATGCCTTTAATTAATATTTTAGTTTTCAAGATACATTAAGATCATTGAAAACTATAGTTACCCACTGCATTTTATTCAAACATTATCTGAAAAAGGATGCTTGAGAAATAAGAAATAAGATTTAATGTTAAGTGAACTATACTGAAAAGGGAGGCTCTTAGGCAAAATGGTGAAGTAGAAATCTTATTCATCAGTTTTATTATCTGTTCTCCCTCCTCTAAATTGAAATCTCCCATGGAACAAAGGGTGAACAAAGGAGCCACTGGGACTGAGGAAATAAATATAAACAGAATCTAATATTTTCTTATCTACAATGAATAAGAAATGAAGCTTAATGAATATTTAAAATGTAGTAACCTAGCACTGTGCATGTTATAGTCACATGTCATACAATGTGTGTGGGGATCCTCAGTGAGAGTTTCATAGTGGCAGAGAGTAACAGAAGTGTTTTTTTGTTTTGTTTAGTTTTTTTTAGAAGTGTTTTTTTAAAAAAATATATAGTTTTATTGATTTTATAGAGAAAGGGAGAGGGAGAGAAAGATAGAAACATCAATGATGAGAGAGAATCATTGACCAGCTGCCTCCTGCACTACCCCTACTTCATATCGAGCCCACAACCTGGGCAATTCTATCCACTGAGCCAAACCGGTTTCGGCGTGTTTTTTTTGTTTTGTTTTGTTTTTTTTAGAAGTGTTTTTTTAAAAAAAATATATAGTTTAAAAAAAAATAAAAAATATATAGTTGATGCTCAACCACTGAGCAACATAGGCCAGGACAACAGAGGTGTTTTTAGTCATTTGTTCAGTTTTATTGTCATGTTATAATTTACCTGTGCATGGTTAGGTAGATTCACAAATCTTATTCAGGGTCAACTAACTAATCCACATAATATGGACAAGTAATTTAAAAGGTTCCTGCAAAGAAACTGTGAATTATTGATAAAAATAACAATAATAATAGCTATCACTTATATAGCACTTATATCAGGCATGTCTATAACTCAATGAGGTAGTTATTATGATTATCCCCATTTTTCAGATGTGGAAACTGAGGCACAGAAGGTAAGCAGTTTGCCCAAGGTCATATAACTAGTAAGTGAGGGACATGGGATACAATTCCAAGTCTGTCTAGCTAGAACTCAGGTCTTAATCTCTGCATAGTAGTGCCTCATAGATAATACTAATCTCAGAGAAAATAATAATATAAAGATGATAGAGGTGCAGCTGCTTTGGAAAACAGTCTCACAGTTCTTCAAAAGTTAAACATACAGTTTCTGTATAACTCAGCAGTGCCGGTTCTAGATATGTACCTAAGAGAATTGAAAATATATGTTCACATAAAAACTTGTATATGAAATGATCATAGCATCATTATTCATAATAGTCAAAAAGTAGAAAGAATCCAAATGTCCATCAGTGGACATGATGAACAGATAAATAAAATGTGGTATATCTATACACTGGAATATTATTTGGCAATAAAAAGGAATGAATACTGATACCCACTGCAACATGAATGAACCTTGACAACATTATGCTAAGTGAAAGAAGCCAGACACAAAAGACCACATATTATATGATTCCATTTATATGACATGTCAAGAATAGGCAAATCTAAACAGACAGAAAGTCCATTAGTGGTTGTCTAGGGCGAGAGGTTGGAGGGAAATGGGGAGTAACAGCTAAGGCATACAGAGTCTCTTTCTGAGGTGATAAGAAAAATTCTAAAATTATGGTGATGGCTGCACAACTCTGTGAATATACTAAAAACCAGAGAACTATATGTTTTAAATGGATAAAGTATATGGTATGTAATACCTCAATAAACCTGTTATTTAAAAAAAGAGATAGCTCTAGCCGGTTTGATTCAGTGGATAGAGTGTCGGCCTGAAGACCAAAGGGTCCGGGGTTCGATGCCCATCAAGGGCATGTACCTTGGTTACAGGCTCCTCCTTACCCTGGGCCCAGGAAGCAACCAATCGGTTTCTCTCACATCAATGATTCTCTCTGTCTTTCCCTCTCTCTTCCATTCTCCCGAAAAATCAATGGAAAATTATCCTCGGGTGAGGATAAATAAATAAATAAATGATAAAAATATAAAAGAGATAATAGGGTAGAGTCCCACCATAATGCTCTAAAAATAGGGTCCCAAGATTTAATTAATTCCGGGTTTTATTGTTGTAAGGTAAGGAAAATGGCTAGTATATATCTGCTGAAATTTATAGGAGCTAATCATATCTGAATGTTCATTGTCACAGGATGTATTATGAGTTTCTGTTCTGTCTTAAAAATAATTCTATGCCCTAGCTGGTTTGGTTCAGTGGATAGAGCGTTGGCATGCAGACTGAAGGGTCCCGGGTTCGATTCCTGTCAAGGGCACATGCCTGAGTTGTGGGCTCGATCTCCAGTAGGGGGCATGCAGGAAGCAGCTGATCAGTGATTCTCTCTTATCATTGATGTTTCTCTCTCTCTCTCTCCCTTCTCTGAAATCAATAAAATATATTTAAAAAAAGAAGATAATTCTAACAATGCAAACTCAAGCAAATAAGAAAATGACAAAGCTACCGACTCCTAACAAACTCTTTTAGGCATATTAATAGATTAAGAGAATGACAATATAATCTGACCTAACAAGTTAGTAAAAAAAAATTTAAACTATTTGAAATATATATTCATATTTGCAATGGCTAATAATATGATTTTTCCCCTATGTATATATTGTACCTTAAGACATTAATGTAAGTACAAAGCCAGCAAAAGGAAGTACAGTAAAATATTTAAAAACATTATCTTTATTTCAGCTTTTATTACTTTTGTGTATGCTTTAGAATGTATATATTTAGCAAAACAGTACAGCATGCAATATCTAAATATGTATATATTGAGAATGCATTTCCAAAAGTTTCTGACAGAGCCATGTAATATAAAACAAACTATACAGCTTATTTACTCAATTAACAGCGCTGGCTAGGCATGAGAAATGCTGAAATGAATAAGCTAACGACTATCATAGAGGAAGGGGATGCCATGATGAGAATGGGAGTATTAAATGGAACCAAGTATACTGAGTGCTGAGACCTCCACATTTTCCTCCCACTCCACGAACACTAGTCAGACCTCTACCCTCCAGGCAGGAAATCTGAGGATCATCTCTGCAAAATCTGGCCAGTCAGGAGGAACATTCTGGGGACATTCAACGGTACAGCCACTTTGGAAAACAGTATGGCACTTACTAATTTAAAAATTGGTGGTGGTGGGAACCAGTGTTTAAAATTAAATATTTGACTCTTTGAACTATGTGCATATTACTTATTAGTTATAAAAAATAAGACAAAGTCCTTGTTCTCGAATTCAGAGAAAAAAAGTAATATAAAAGCAGTAGGTTCAAAGCAAATCAGAATATAGAGTGTCTGGATGAGAGAAATTAATTCTACCTAGTAACGTTTAACACATATCTTGTTTCCTGGGTGTCAGGACCAGAACAAAGTTAAGCAGATCAGGAGAGGATTTACTAACTGCCAGGCCTACTGAGTGGCATATCTGTGTGCAAGCTGAGGAAGCACACAGATATGAGTAACCCCAAAACCCTCAGAATCGGGAGGTGGAAAATAACACCTACAAAAGTGGTTACAATCTGTGATCAACCCGGATTCCAGGAAGATAGACAGGTGGCTGGGCTCTTCATGGATGGGAGCACTCACCTGTGCTTACATAACACGGGAGGCGGGTAAACAAAGATAGTTCAGGGTCCATGCCCATCCCGGCGCGCATCCCATCCGGCCCAGACCAACTAGGGAGTGTCCGTTCCCATGGAGCTGAGCCCCGGCGAGAACTGATTCCGACCCTTTTATGGCTGAAGCCAACTCACCGACTCGGCCGCCGCTTCCTGCTCATCCACCGCCAGGGCCCACGAGTCAGTGGCCATGGTCCCGGGCGCGAGTGGGACGCTGGTGCTGGCGCACTTGCCGACTGGCGCGGCGCGATCGTGGGCTCCCGGGGTCGCGGTGAGCCCGGCTCCCGCCCCACCGAGGGGTAAGTCATTCGCACCGGCGCTGGGAACCGGAAGCGGCGCGCCGCAGTGACGTCGAAGTCCGCGTCGGCCCTGGCCCCTTTGGGGCAGTCCCTTCTGTCGCCTTCAGACCCCCACCCACAACCCTGCTTAGCTCACGCTCTCTTTTTTTCTTTTTTAAACATTTTTAAATTGATTTTAGAGCGAGAAGAAGGGACCGGGATAGATAGAAACATTGATGAGAGAGAAACATTGATTGGCTGCCTCCTCCTACTAGGGATGGAGCCTGCTGCTGGGACATGTGCCCTAACCGGGAATCAAACCAATGACCTCTCGGTTCATGGGTTGACCCTCGACCACTGAGCCATCCCGGCTGGGCTCGCACTTTCTTATTTAACAGCTAGACCCGAACTGGGGTAATTACCTTAACGGGTCTAAGCTCTTGTCAACTGCCCCCCCAACGGAAGAGCAAAACCACATTCCCGCTCAGGGTAGTGGCATAGAAGCGGCTCATAAGATTGAAGATCTCGGAACACAAGACCATTACAAAGAGTCACCAAAATGCATACTGAAACAAGCAGGTTTTCCCCCCTCACTTTTCAGGTTGGTAATTTCAGATGTCCAAGTGTTGGCCAGGGTGTTCGGAATCAGCCCTCTCAAACACCGTTTGATTGAAAATTTGTCCCAAAGCTAACACCACTGAGAGAAATTTCACCTTAAAAGATACTCAAGGAAGGTGCTAGGAAAATGCGTTCCAGATACAGGACCAGAGACAGGAGAGAGCAAGGATGTTTGCAGAGCCGAACAGACACAGTTTCAGCGGGTATTGACAAGAATCAGGGAAGAAGAGGTTGGTAGGTGGTCAAAGAAAAGTGCAGAATAGCTTAATGCGCAAATGACTTCACTCCTGGGAACCCCTCTCATCTGGCTTGACTTTCGAAGTTAACTGTGCCTAGATTAGAATCCCAGCTCTCCCATGTAAGGATCGTGTGACTGGGAGAATTATTAAAGAGGCAAAAGTATCTTGTGCTTTTAGAAAAGGTGAAATAAGGATTAAGTGTGCAGATGCTTCCTGCTAACGTCATATAAGCTTCTCTCCCCCTTGCTACTTCACTAGAAAAAAGCTGGGCGTTTTCCTGCACCGGAGAAAATGAATCCCCACTTCTCTCACTTTACCAATATTCCACTACATACAATAAATTAATTTCAAGCAGTAGTGGGCTCTATGTGGAACTTTACCTGGAGAATATGAATAAAAATGTTTGGGAAAGGATAAAGCAGCTCCCAGCAGTCCTTTACTTGTCATGATTCTTTTTCTCCTGCACCATTTAAAGAGTTAATTGGGAAGATTTTTTTTATACTACAGATGAGGATGTAAAAAAAGAAAAAGGCAAACACACAGCCCAGGAAGCCATGACCTACATTTCATCATGTCAGAAACAACTCTGGGAATATTTTGCCAGAGAAATTATATTGATGATCATAGGACTAATGGAGGTTAATGGATTTTTTTAAGTTTAATGAGGTTAAAAATTAAGTCATCTAACCCTAGCCGATTTGTCTCAGTATATAGAGCATTGGCCTGTGAATTGAAGGGTCCTGGGTTCGATTCCAGTCAAGGGCACGTGTTAGGATTGTGGGCTCAATCCCCAAATGGGGGCATGCAGGAGGGAGCCAGTCAATGATTTTCATCATTGATGTTTCTTTTTTTATTTTTTATTGATTTCAGAGAGGGAGGGAGAGGGAGAGAGACAGAGAAACATCAATGATGAGAGAGAATCATTGACTGGCTGCCTTCTGCACACCCCCTACTGGGGATCAAGCCTGAAACCCAGGCATGTGCCCTTGACTGGAATCAAACCAGGGACCCTTCAGTCTGCAGGCAGACACTCTATCTACTAGCCAAACTGGCTAGGGCTCATCATTGATGTTTCTATCCCTCCTTCTCCCTCTCCCTTCCTCTCTGAAATCAATAAAGATATAATTCTTTTAAAAATTAAGTCATCTAAGGTGTTGACTGTGTATAATAGGATATACTTGTGCAAAAAACAAAACAAAACCATAAACCAACACACCCAAAACAAAACAAACTCAGATATACCCTAGTACCTACTATACAAAATGTTTAAGATACACAAAACTGATACAGTGGCTTCTAGTGAGGGACTCTAGAAATCTGGGGTGGGAGAGACTTCCTTTCTGTTATGTACACTTGATCCTCTGAAATTTATTTTCCATGTGCATGTTTTCCTTTTAAAATTGTATTTCAGACAAACAAGAAAGGGAATAATATAACAAACATCTAGGTTACCCCCTCACGGCTTAAGAAATAAAACAATTATGACTCAATTGAAGTCCCTCCATAACCATCCTAAGAGACAGCAGTTCTCCTGAATTTGCTGCTCATCCTCCCCATAAATGCTTTTAGTATATGTTGTTTCTCTATTAAAAAACAACAGCCTAGCTGAGATGGCTCGGTGTTCAGCGCAGACCCATATACAGAGAGATCACCGGTTGGGCTTCCAGTCAGGGCACATACCTGGGTTTCGAGCTGGACCCTTAGTAGGGGACGTGCAGGAGGCAGCCCATGGGTATTAATGTTTCTCATCAATGTCTCTATCTCTCTCTCCCTCTCCCTTCTTTTCTCTCTAAAATCAATAAAAACATATTTAAAAGCAACAACTTAAAAATAAGCATCATGCCGAAACCGGTTTGGCTCAGTGGACAGAGCATCGGCCTGCGGACTGAAAGGCCCCTAAAAATAAGCATCAGGATTCTAGACTCGCCTACATCCACCTCCCCAAACCTGCACAATATGAGACTCCTGCTAAGGAGAAATCCGGTCTCCAAAATGGAATGTGGAGAGAGGACTCACAGGAATACAGAGCATCTGGATTTGAATTCAGCCTCCTGCATTTTATTCCCACGTGGCCTTGGGCAGCCTCTGCTCTGAAATCACCGTAAATCATCTCACTGTTCAAGGATGCAATGAGATCACCAGGTTAAGGCCATGGGTCCAGGACCGGGCTTATGGCGAAGGCTCGGGCCCCACCCCCTGTGGCAAGGCGAGAAAGACACCTAGATGTCGGAGAGAGGGCCATCCCCTACCCTCCGAAATACTCACGGCGCCCACGGGCAGGGAGACAGAAAGCACCTCCAGGCCTGACCTTGGCCTCGGCCAGCGGCCCCGGCCATCGCGCGGCAGCATGGCCGTTGCCCCGACCAACGGCCTCCCCAGCTCATTGGCTGTAGCGGGGGACCCGCCAGCCAATCAGCGCGCCAGGTTCCTGCGGGCAAAGGCTGAGTCCAGGCTCCAGTGGGGGCGCCTTGGTGTGAGTTTTGTCACTTTTCGTTAAATGTCCGGCTGCCTGGCTGGACTCGGGGACTCCAAGGGCAGGGCAGTTTCTGCTTTCTTTAATGCTGATCTTCAGGGACTAATGCGTAATAGACACTCATTTGGTGAATAGATAGATGCGGAATGCACACCCCTCGGTAGGTCAAACTTTTAAATCTTGGTCTCTGAACAAACAGGTGAATAAGTTCATTCTGGAGTTCAGGCCCTTGCTACTCCAGGTGTGATCCCCAGCAGTACAGCTGTCGCCAGGGAGCTTATTAGAAAGGGAAAGTCCCAGGCCCCACTCCAGACCTACTAAGTCAGGATCTACATTTTAAAGTCCCAGCTGATTACTTCAGCATCTTATCGTCTGAAAACAATGATTCAGTCACTCCCATTTGATCGGAGAGCAAATAAATGAACTTTCTAAGTCCATAGTATAGATGCTAAAAGTAGCCTAGGTGCGATGGAAGCATCAGAATCTAGGACCCATCCTTACAAAACTGAGTATTTTATTTTGAGCCCCTGTTATCGTCCTCATGCTCCAAGGTGAGGGTCTACCAATGTTCTGTTGCAGAGCAAGCCGTGTGTATAGCGTTACCTCTTATAATAGGCCTATTTGCTTAGCCCAGAATAAGAAGTTTCCTAAAATACACAATTGGCACATTGCATTGAGATAGCTTTCCTTCCACTATGTAGTTGACATCTACAAGAGACAAATATCATAGAGAACTGGGTAATTATCTGAATAATTCATGTAGAAAATTCATGTTTAGGAGAATGTGACTTTTGGACCTCAATTACAATCTCTCCTCATTGCCACTGAATGTGGTACCAGCAGGTGAAGTCCCAAAAGGAGACTCAAACCCTGAGCCAGCAGGGTTCTTGGCTTTGAGCAGGAAAGAATTCAAGAAGCAAGCCCGACAAGGGGTTAAAACAGAAGCCAGTTTATTGAGCAGAGAGGATAAGCAAGAAAAGCCACTTCACTGACAGAGTAGTGGACCCTTCTCACAAGAGAAGGAAGAGAGACGCCAATTGTCTCTTGAGATTGAGCTTATATCTGTAGTTTCTATGGCTAATTCCTGCCATGGGGAAATAAGAGAGTTGGGGGGCGGGGGGAGTTGAGAATAACTTGAACCTTTACAAGGTGTATTTTGTGTCCTTGTGTATGGATATGGTATGGTGAGTCGCTATTAATCTTTGTTCTGGAGACTCCTTATAGTCTGCTTTCATCTCTGGCCAGCTGAGTTCTGTGTCAGGCAGCATGTAACAGGCCCCTGACTTTAACTTTGTTTGACTTTATTAATTTATATAGTTCTCATGCTCCTCTCCTATATTAAGTGATAAATTTTAAAAAATTCTGTCTCTCATTCTTTCATCAGTATAGGTGCTGTGCTAACAAGAACAACTCTGGCAACATAGCAAAGTTATTGAGATGACAACCAATATTACTTTATTTAAAAAATGCAATTTATATAGTTTTAGCTCTCATATTCACTGTGGTGGCACGGCAGTCTGACCCATATTGCAGATTATTTAGGTTTAATATGCCTACTCTTTGGGGGCCCATTTGGGCCAGAACAAACACTTGTCTCTTGGTTTTGTCCTTTACTGTCTCAACCTCTTAGTGCCTCAGTTGTTAAAAGCAGGTAATAATTTTTTTTAAAAAGCAGATAATAATAGTAACTCATTATAAGGTTGTTATGAGGAGCAAAAGCTTAGATCAGTGCATGTTCAATAAATGTTAGATATGATGAAGATTATTGAATTGCTGTGATCTAGAAAGTTAATTTGGGTGATTTTTTTTTTTAAAACTGGCTTTTGAACTTTATCTATTTGTATAGGATGCTATATTACTTTAAGAAGTAAAATTTTTCTGACCAGCCCGCATGGCTGAATGGTTGTGCATCAACCTATGAATCAGGAGGTCACAGTTTGATTACCAGTCAGTGCACATGCCAGGGTTGCAGGCTCGATGATTCTCTCTCATCATTGATGTTTCTGCCTCTCTCTCCCTCTCCCTTCCTCTCTGAAATCAATAAAAATATATCTATTTTAAAAAGCAAAATTTGTCTGCAATATCTTTAATTTTGTTTTGAACAGTAGTACAATTGTATACCAGGGTATTTTGATATATCGGATGCTGTAGGTTATAGAGCATGGACTTAGGAATTAGAGGTGGGTTTGGATCCTGGCTTGGCACCATACTCTTCAGTGTGAACTTGGGCAAGGCAGTCACCTCATCAGTAAAAATGGCATGGCAGCTGACCAGCCTCATACAGTTTAAAAATTAAATGTTAGAAATAATCTATATGAAATTATAAAAATATATCTTTATTGTTTCAAAGGGAGGGAAAGGGAGAGAGAAACATCAATGAGAAAGAAACATCCATGGGCTGCCTCCTGCACGCCCCCTACTGGGGATCTAGCCCCCAACCTGGCCACGTGCCCTGACCACAATCCTCCTGGTGCCTGGGATGAAGCTCACCTGAGCCACACCGGCCAGTCATCTCGTGAAAATTTTAATACCATATACCTCACATATAAATATTAACTTGTTTTTCAAAGGCAAATGCAGGGGCAGATGCGAAATTCAATATTAAATTACTTCTCCCACAACTAAATCCAAGAAAGTCTGACAAGGACAAGTGTATCCATGGGCACATTATACCAGAATCTTTCAGGACTACATACCATTCTGTAACTAAAATGATCAAAACTATATATCAAGAGCTGTGACTTGTATCAAACACATGTCACCGTTTCCCCTTATTAACCATGTCAGCTATTGGGACTTTTTTTTATGGAAACTAAAACGTCAGCCCCAGGAGTCCGCACCCTACTCTGTCACGTGATGCACCCCTTTCCTTCTTTCCCCAGCCGTTGCATCAGCCAATTTAGAGCTGCCTTCCCAGAAACCCGCTGAGAAGCCCGGGTTGATTGGCATACTCATTGACCAATGAAGTCCCTTAGAGCTGAGGCGCGGTGGGGCGCTTTCCATCTGCGCGCTCTGATTGGACGGGGCGCTGCGCGTTGCGGCCGGCGGTGGTTTCTGCCTGTGCTTCTGCCCTGTGTGCGCCCACAGGTATTCGCGGGCCGCTGGCGGTGGGCTGAGCGAGGAGTGAGGCCCGGCGACCCTCGGGGGAAGCAGGCAGCCTTGGAGATATACCACAAGGGCGGCAGGGCCGGCGTCTGCGAGCGCAGCGGCTGCTTGGCCAGGCCTCGCGAGGCCTCTGGATTGGACCTTGGGCGGGAGCCGGGGCCCGGGCAGCGGACACGGCAGCCGAGCGCTGGAGTGGAGCGGCCTCCGGTGGCCTGAACGAGGACCAAGCTCTTGGGAGGATCCCGGTTGCCATTGACTACCCATCCAAAGCGGAGGTTTTCTTTCTCTTAAGTTTGTATCTCCTAGGGGTGAGCGGAACGTTGGTGGTCCAGGGTGGAATCTGAATTCTTAAAATTAGCTGAACAACTGACAGCCGGTCCGGGCCCCATCATGTTCAGCTATGCCTTTCTCAGTCGGTCTGCGTTTCCTGCTGTGCTTTTAAGTTATTCATCCCGAGTTTGTTCTTAGAGACTTATTAATACCCGGTTATGAAATTGTTAGCGACCACTCTTCTAGATGCTGAGGATACACCTGTCACGGGGAGCAAAAACCAGGCATGGTGCCCACTGGTGTGGCGCTGGCAGCCTGATGGGGAGGTGGCTTACACAAGCCAGCAAAGGCACGGGACTGAAGGAAGGGGCCCGGGGCTTGGAGAATAAAACAAGGAGAATCTGATCAACCAGGAGGAGCCTTCCTTAGATAAGTCTCTCTGAAATGAAGAGATCCAACATGAGAAATTAGAAAGAGGGGAACGTGGGAGTAGGGTGGCAGATGAAGGGCTTGGGGAAACGTCCCTGAAGGCTGGTGTGACTTAGGGTGCTCCGGACTCACAACTCCTGCCAGGAAGTGGGATCTGAGGACCCGCCTCTGTAGCCCATAGAGCCTGCCAGCTTCTTCTTCTTTCTTTTTTTTTTTTAAATATATTTTATTGATTATTTTACAGAGAGGAAGGGAGAAGGATAGAGAGTTAGAAACATTGATGAGAGAGAAACATCGATCAGCTGCCTCCTGCACACCTCCTACTGGGAATGTGCCCGCAACCAAGGTACATGCCCTTGACCGGAATCGAACCTGGGACCCTTCAGTCCGCAGGCCAACGTTCTATCCACTGAGCCAAACCGGTCAGGGCTGCCAGCTTCTTTATATTGCGTAGATGAGTGAGTGATGGTGGTGGTGGGGACACGGTTTTTAACAGCCCCAGGCTTTATTGGGCTTATTACTGTCCAATGTAGTGGATTCTTTTACATCATACTGAGGTTATTTCTGTGTATGACTGTCTCCCCATTAAAGACATCGACCCATTCACCTTGGTTCCTCGTACCATGGTACGCACTCAGTAAGTTGACTGGAGAAGCAGAAATGGAAAGTTCCTGCCTACTTGCCTCAGGTAGCCCATGTAGAGGGCAAGCAGTGAACACTGCAAAACAGCTAACATGGTGCCGTGCAGAATTGCCTCCGTAAATTCATCTTTGTCACCTTTATTGAGATTCATTGAGAGCATGATGAGGAGGGGTAAGGAAGAATGCGGTGTGACAGAGTTTCGAAAAACCCCAGCCTTGACTCCTTACCATGGACACAAAGTCCTCGCCTGTAGGCATTGCAGTCAGCTATTGATTTGGCTCTATCAACCAGTGTTTCACCATCTTTTTGATCAAAGGGCTTTTGTTTGAATAATGAGTTGATTGAGTTGTGAATAAATCAATTGAATTTTTGGTTAAAACAAAACCTGAGAGAGTTTCATGTTCACTGTATACAACCTTTAAACATTTT